TTTTTTTCTGAAATTTTCCTTTTTTTTTGATATGACAAATTATTTTCCACACATTAAGACCAGTACTATTCTTTCTGACAACACTGCTAATGTTTTGACACTAAGGAATGATTGCCTCATTAATTAGCGATGGAGTCCGAATCGTTCGCTATCACACTTTGAAAAACAGTGATCGGACACATCTCTATTGAGAATTCCTGCACAGTTCCGTACCGTCCAGTCTTTCACTTCACCGCTAAGTGAATTTCACGCACAAACAACAAACAAAATTTAAGAAAAGCATTGAAACGAAGGTGTTGGTGTTTCAGCGTTCAATTCCATCGGTCCTTCAGGAACATCCTATCGCCTTGGAAGCCTCATTAACGGGTCTTGTACTAACATACTATCTGCCGATTACGTCCATTTGCAAAGGAGCAAACTCTACTTCATTGTACTGTTCCGCTGCTGTGCTGCAAGGCCTTATGTGTGCACACATTTTTGCATTGTCCACAATGAGTAATCCTTGGTGATCCAAGAACTTCAACTTTAGCTGTTCTCTTCGGGTAAAAGTGCGTCAAACAGTGGAAGAGAACAGGATCCGATGTCCGATAAGAAACAGAAAAATCTGCCGTATCGCACAAGTGTGATGATGGTCGAGATGTGCTCTAGAAGTGCATGTGTAGAAGTTGCCTTAATCAGACACTGTCCTGACGACCTTCAAAGCACCATTCCGCAGCATGTGCTTCTCCCACATACTTTTCCCTGGTAGATAAGTGAGGCGTATCTCCTCCGTTCCGGAGTGATATACATATCCCAAGATTACGAAGATCAATGCAGCACATCCATCCTGCAGTACTGTAAGTTCTGCTCTGCTGAGAGCTGAGCCCTTAAATGGGGCTCTGCTCATCAAACAGTCACCAGGGCACACAGCCACTGTGCACGGTATTTTCATTTATTTTCAGCTCTGAAGTGTTCACAAATGATGCACTTAAGCAGGCGTTTTCCCTCCATTTCAATGTGCGCAACTGTCTTCACTGATCTCCATTCTATTTGAATGCAATAGAGAAAGTGTTGCGAGTAACATAAGCTTGAGAATGGTGCATTCATGCGCAAATGGTTCCGTGCTGCTGAAGTAGAAGCTGTTCCCGGAAGTCACCGTCTTCCACAATTCTAGTTAAGTCAAACATTAGGCCATTCGTCCACTCCCACCAGTCATCCGCCTTGGTGACAACAGCACCTTCTTGAAGTACGTGCAGGTAATGAACTCACACGATTACTTCACAAATATGGCGGAATAAGCATATCAGCAGCATAAGCATATCCTTGACGCCAAATCTTCTTGAGACGAAACTTACTCGTCTGAGGTGGAAGATTCCAACAGCAGTACGATACTTCTGAGAGCGAAATACATCATACGCCTCATGAGTAGATTACCATCAAAGAGATAACTGTTCACCCTATTGCGCATAGGAGCTAATTTCTAATTAGCTCCACGAAACTCATGCGCTCCTTTGTTAAGTTCAAAACTCGTCTCAGAAGTTCAACACGGATTCTTCCGATTAGTCAATTCGACATTCATCAAGAATAGCGTACCCAATCACCTCATCTCGAAGGATACCGTTCCATTCTCAGTCGCTATCACACTGTGAAGATAGGTCATCACTTCCGCAAATGCGTCGACATCTATGATCTTTGATCGCCCGTGTATTTCTTGCCGTTCAAGTGAAATTGTAAGTGTATATAGCGATGTTTCGTCTCTCCTCCTCTCGCAACTCTCGTACTTGGCGATCACTCCGACGCAGTGAATTGTTGTTACATAAGCTATTTGCACGAGCAGCTTTTCGCCGTTGTACAATTCTCCTGATGTGATATCTGTGCACTGTAGTGGAATCTACACGACTACGACGCCATAAGAGGTGTTGTCGCTGGGGCAATATTCAGGGCTGCGATGAGAAAACTGTGAACAAATCGTTTAGTCAAAGGCATGAGACTCACCTGAGAAAACAAATGGTCGAAACGAACAAGCGACTTTTGCGGAAATCGATACTCGGACATTCTTCTGCTGTCTTCACACATGGTTCATCCAAGCAAATTGCTTGCGGCGGTGGTGTGAATACAAAACAAAACAGAAAAAAAAACAAAAAGTTGAACGAGAGGAAGGGGTATACCAGGAGTAAAGCATCTGATAAGGAAATGCACAACAATTTATAACAATTAGCTTCGGAACGGAAATCAGAAGAGTTTAGCAATACAAATGATGGAGAATGTATTTGGTAGAATACCAATTCTGACGAAAAAATCATTTGATTTGATTTGACCAAAAGTTGCATGTGGAAATTTCCAGAAAAAGATAAGATCAGAGCATGGAGATGACGATATTGGGTTGATTCAGAATGATCTTTCAGGGACTTCTTTGTACAACTCATTGAGATCCTTTTTCCACGTAGTATTACCGATACAGAGAGTGGCTCTGTTCCCCGATATCTTTGCCAGGCGAGACGTTGTCCACTTTCCTGTCTTGGTGTCTTGGGCAACAACTATTTCTCCCACTTTTAGATGACGTTGTTCACTTGGCGATAAGTTACGCAGAGTGACTCCACCCACTTGGAGTCGCACTTCTTTGAAGGGGTCCTCTTCCTTGGATAATCCATGTTTGTAAGTATTGCGAATTCTGGGTGACCTTGATCGCGACCTCCGGGACGGCTGGCGCCGCTCGCGCCTATCACGACTACTTCTACGTCGTGCTCCTCGATCTCTGCTTTTGCTACGGCTCCTGCGCCTTTCAGCGGCTTTACTGTCCCTCGATTTCAACCCTGCTTGGCTTAGAAGATCCTTCAACTCGCACAACAGCATCTGCTTTTGAGTTCGATCCAGCATGTGAGCATTATCGCCAAGCTCTCCTATCATTCGAAACGCTCGGGATTGGAAAATAGATGACAATTCGGCTTCACGGCAATTGCGCTGCAATTCCAGGAGTTTATCCTCGACCTCTTTGATGAGAAGTTTTATTTCCTCCATCTCGAAATCCGGTGCTGAGGTATAGGCGGCGCCATTGGATTCACTGTTCCCTGGCATTGCCGACGATGAGGCAAATGTAGAAAGAAACGGTGGCGGTGTATAGGAAGAACTAAGCCGATTTTGGGCTGGGAATGTAGAGAATGGCTGGACAGAGGGAGCTGGATGCTGTGTTCGCGCGAGTTCCATTTGTAATCTAGCCCGTTCCTCGAGTTGAACTTGTTTACGTATTTCCTCCTCCATTGTTCGCTTCCTTTCTTCTAGTTCCCTTTGCATTCTGCGCTCCAGTTCCTCCTCTTTCTGCCTCAGCCGTTTCTCCTCTTCCAACTTTTGGGCCTTTGCTTCCAATTTCGCTCGCAACTCATCTTCACGTGAAACTCGAAACTGCTGCTCCAACAACATTGGATCCACAGTCGGCGGTATGGGACTTATCAAAGGCCGAATTGGATCATGCATTCCTAGGTCACCGCTAAATGGCAAATGGGGATGCGATCGTGCTTGAGCAAGCAATGGTTGTGGTGCAATACCATTAGCAGGCCAGTTGTCAACTGCTTCCGACCGCCGTAGCATCATTTCTTGACGGAGAAGCTCCTCTCGCTGTCTAGCGATCTTCTGTTCTATTTCATCTGGCGAATAATGTAACGCGTCCTTGTCGACAACACTGTATCGATCATATACCATGTCGGAAGGCACACGCTCACCATGATGCATTGGCCTTAGCCCGCGACATGGCTCTGGTGATCTGGTCGGCCCTCGATCTCTATAACGATCTCTACCTTCTTGACAGTACCTTTCGGAATGGCCATAGAGTCTGCAATGGCGACAGAATTCCGCGCTTTCGCAGTTGTCAGCAAAGTTGTCTGTCGCGATCCCGTTGGGTGGTATCTAAAGTTACAACAACCATTGCAACTACCCGCTTATTGAAAGTGCTTCAAAAGTAGCAGTTCAATTTGCAACGAACAAAAAAGGCTTTCAAAAAAACGTTGCCTACATCAATCAACGACCTAAGCATCAAATACTCACCGGTAGATGCGCAAAATCATCTCGAGAACGCTCAGGTGGTATTGGAAAATAGACATCCCGCACAACCTTCAAGATCGAGCATCACATCGTAACCTCGTGACAGAAGTGTTGAAATTACAAAAAATGATACCGAGTTGAAAACCGCCTTTAGCCTGTCGAGAGTGTCCGGTTCCAACCCTCTAGCTGTGTTGAGATCCCAGGGCCAGTTTCCTAAAGCATTGAGTGGAGAAAAACAAGATAAAACAGGTACGCTTTCATTTTAGCTTTCAATAAGATATGCATTCAGAGAAGATGTAGGTATAAAGAAGGGCCTTCCACTATTTTATCGTTGAGTTGGGAATCGAAGAGATTGGAAGCTACTTATCAGCTTAGTTGATGGATTGAGAAGATGGTGTGCGAAAATTTGCGCTCATAGCTTCCAATCACTGGATCGACAGCTTTCTTGGAAAAATCAAAGGAAGGTGGAATAGTGTCTCCAGCGCATCAACAAAAACATGAAGCAATATTAAATTTGACTTGTACTACTTATTATCTATTGTCTCAGCGCCACAGTGAGCGTTGTGAATGTTTCACAAAAATGGCTGGGTTATGAGAAAAATTTGCTGTCATAATTGACAGGACTTCGCAAACAACCAAACAAAAAAAAAACAGGTGTTGTCCTTAATCCAACATTCTTATTTAACAGATAAATATGTCCCAAAAGACACATTTGAGGCAGAACAATTTAATAATCAAAGCTGGAAACTACTTCAGTCACATTCTCTCATATCCGCCGTCTGTGAAGGCCCCGTTCCCGCGACCGGAAATGACGTGGCGGCCGCCGCACTTGATAGAAGTCGGGTGGATAACATTCCAACATACTTCGCTGTAAATCAACCAGACATGCTGGGAACAACTTATTCGCGCGACCTCTACCAGGTGCCGGCAACCACGTCTACTCTGTAACGCGCCTACTCAGACAGCGAGGATATGGACTATACTTATTGCCCACTTCTAGCCCTTCAAATAAAAGGGCCACATTTTCACGAGTAAGGCATTTGTTTTGCTTAACACATTGACGACCGCGCGCGTTTTGGCTTTTTTGGCCGTGTGGGACCGGGCCGATTTTGCGAGTGCGACCGCCGCACCTCGGATCCGTGAATTTTTATTGATAACTTTTTAAAGCACCAGTGGTACAAAAACATCTCAGTAACAGTCAATGCGTAGAAGGTAATAGAGTATATAGTGACGAAGTTCCGATTAAAGAACATGTAATGGTAATGAAAAAGGAAATTTTAGTCATTTTATCTGTAGTGGATGCCAAAAGCTCTTTTGATGTGGTTATACCAAGTGAAACATGTATTTTTCTGTCTCTTTAGATTTGCATTTACTTTCACTACCCTTTTTTATTGACGTGTTCATGAGAATAGCATGAAAACTATTAATGAACCAAGCTGCCAATTTCGGCTGAGCTTGGAAAACTTCTTGCTAAACTGGAGCATATTTGACAACAATGACCTATGTCGTTCACAATAATGTTATGTTGTAATCCATAGAAGAGAGACAAACAAATTGGGAAAAAGCCGCGCATTTGCTAGAAAAAGGGATGACAAGGGTGAGACGAGTGAGCAAATTGGGACGCGCCTCACTGCCATCAATGCGTTAATTTAGTTGACTGTTTCCGTGATTGGTAGACGTATACATCACCACCCTTGAAAAACAATGTGCTCACAAGATCGTATCACTGAAGGGTTAACGACTATTATAAAATATGATGAAAAAAAGTCTTCAACAAACGCACAAGAGCGGTCATCGTTTTAGCACCCTCTCCTCAAAACACTGATCCAAGCCCACCATTGTACTCTAGAATCATTCCCTTCTCACTCCTCCCACCTTGTGCACGTGCAACCAGTTAGAAAAAAGCATTCTGAACCATCTGAGTTCCTAATTGATTTTTGTTCATACCAAACCATTCGAGATGAAATTTCCTAGTGTTGCTTCCACGAAAGTGCACAACCACTCCAAGTTTTTCGAGCATAATAGCAGAATTCGCTTTAAAATCATTCTGATTGGCCCTGTACAAAGTGTATTATCTTGTTTGAAGGATCTCTGGAGCATGGCCTAGCTGAAATATATTTTTTCTGTTCATTACTTATGAATAATTAAGAATAAAAGATTTAATTTAAAAGTTGGATGAGGTGTGTCAAACCTCAAATAATAGCTGGATGCAATAAAACAGCATATTGAGCGAATTCGTTTCAAATTATGACAAAGTGGAAAATAAGGATGCTGAATTATGAGCAAGACTCTTGACAATCATTTTTTCAAACAAAGCAAACAAAACCAACAAATGTTTTGCGCTCAACCCAGCATCCTTGTGCACATTGATTAGGCAGACTGCAGCCAAAAATAGCAATAAAGAAATAAGAAGTAATAAACAAGGGTATCTTTTTTGAGTAGCCCTGAAATGAGTTACAGCGCTTGAACTTTCTCCATGTTCTTGCGCGGAAGGCCAGAGCGCAGACGGCGGCTATCTCATCTTTTGACGGTGCTAGACAGAAGATCCGAGAGCCAGGACGAATGTAGGCAACTCAGGTGGTGATAGGGCTTGAGCCACTGAACCTGAGGTGGAAGTTGGAG